GCAGGTTGGTTTTAGCAGCAAAACCACATGAAGGCAACTGCAGCTGGGAAAAACGTGACACCAGGGTTATGGGGTCATAGAAACCAAAGAGCAAAGTCCTAGAACCACCCATGTACAGCCGAGGTTCACACCCGCTCCAGGCACCTGAAGGGACGAGGATGAATCTCATGAAAGCATCCGCCTCACTTGTAACTCAGGCACACAGGAGAGATTGTAAATGAGGGAGTTTGTCTGAGACTTGTTAAGAAGGGGGAATAAAACCCAACATGAAAGGAACTTAACAGCTGCAACGAGCCTAAATGGTTGCACAAGAAACTCCCCTGTCAACCGCAAACAGTTTGTGTTTAATGAGGCTGCAGGACGTGCGCGAGTAGGTTGCTAATTTCTTTGCACAAAGTCCTACCCGTGATTATTACACGTGTACCTTCCCATTGCCTCCCATGGAAGTGGGATTTTTTGGAGCTGAACTGAAAAATGATCTATTAAAGAATAATTAATGCCAAAGCACCAGGAGATCACACCCAGTGCTGTGTCTGGAAGAGCAAAAGTAAGTCCCTAGTAGATCAGTAGATGCGCAGAACAGGGGAAAGCAATTTGGGAAGGGATTCAAGGGATCAGCTGAAGCTTTTCTGGCAGCCACTTCCTGAGGCAAATCATTAATTTTTGTTAATCCTGTGCAAAAATCTGGTGATTTGGGAGCAAAATTTCACAAGTATTTCAGTAGTGCTTTAGGGTGCCAAATCCTATTACTGGATAATGGGACTTTAGCATTCCAGGAGCTGAGAGACTTTGGAAGATGTGGGTTTATGGGGGAGGGTTCTTCTCTTTTCATTATTGGATTAAAACCTACCTCACCCTTAATCCTGCGCCAGGAACTGTGTAAGCAGGGAGCTAAACCTGTCTGGAGACCAACTGGAGCATAAAACCCCAGTTACCGTTCCTATAGCTGATGGCCATGCTGTGTTTGTTATTCCTGTGACTCTTTGCTGATGGAGCTCGGCTGTCCTGGCTCACACCGTGTCCCCAGCACTGCTGTGGGGCCATCAGATGGGGCAGCCTGGCCTAAGGTGATGCCTGAGAGCCCCAAGGGTCTCCCTGCACAGAGACACCCCCAAAAACTATAGCCCAGGAGCACCCTTGTTTCGGTAGAGGGGAAAAAGCTCTTCCTTATAACCAAGTTGTGCTAACGGAACTAAGATTGTTTTCCATGTGTTTTCAGGCCACCTGCACTGAGGACACTTAGAAACAAACCCAGGGAAGTTGGTTGGAAGAAATAAAACAGGGAATTAAAAAGGGAAGAGAGCTTCAAGCTGCTGGCATGAGCTTGATACCCTGGACCGCAGCTCTCTGCCATCCCCCCCCCAACATAACCCCCATTTTTAATTACAAGCAGTCAAACTGTAACGACCTTAATGGACATCTTAATTATTGCATTAAAGTTTGAAATGGAAAAGTCCTCATTATGTGCCATGCAGTAGGTCACAGCTGCAGTAAATGGTGATATTTTGCTTGTTACGATGCTGGGTGCCCTTTGCAGAGCGGTGGTGTCTTTGGGGCACGTCCCAGCCCTGGGGAGCTGGCAGGTGGATGTTAGAGCAGGTCTCTGCTGGGAGAGCATCTGCTTGTGTTTTCAAGGCGAAAGGACCAGCGAGAAGTGCTCTTTGCTATTTCTTTCCTCCTCCAAATTGTGCTATTTTCCTCCTGTTTTGCTTTCCATCTGCTTGAATGTGTTTATTGATTTTGTGTTACGCAAAGTGCAATAAAACAGAATCCTTCCAATGCCAGCTATTGAATATGCCCCAAACTATTTAAATGCAAACCGATCCATCAGTCCCAACCCACAGCAGCAATACAACATAACTGTGATTAACCAGCCTTTAAGCCCAGTACCAGATTCCCAGTCCCTACTGCACAGTACCTGTCCCTGCTTGCCCAGGGCAGGCTGGAAAGCTGGCATCCAGCCTGGCAGACAGGGTAGTTATCCTGGGAGCTGGATAATTTGTGGAATGTGGCAGAGCTTATTCTTCTATCTCAGGCTTTACACAGTGGTAGGATCCCATGAAGAGCAACAGGGCTGGGTTTGAGGTGGGTCTGTGGCTTCTTAGAGCTTTTCAGGCCAAAATAGCTCAAGGGTGTATATCAGAGGCTGCCCATTCCTTGATAAGAGGAGCAAAGGGACAGGAAAAGATGAGGGTAATTTGCATTCTGCTAAATGCTTCACCATCATTTTCACACCACAAAGATTCATGTTGCTTTATTCTGAACAAATTGAGGAGAAAATGAGTGAACTCTGCAGTGCTTAGAGATATTTTCTTGATCTCATGACCTTGCAGATGAGGTTTGGAAACTCCTTTAGTGGCTATTTACCTTTTTAACAGGTACTCCCAAACTTTTGTTCCCTTCCATACTAACTGTACAATTGCCGCATAATAAGGGAACATGGATGCTGGGGCAGCAGGTCCTGGAACTCCCCAGCACTGGCTCCATTGGTGACAGCCACCAGCCAGGGCTCTGATACTGCCCAGCTGTGCCAGGTAAACCATCCATACCATCCGCACTGCCCGTGCCAGCTGTGCCAGCTGTGCTCAGCAGCTCTCAGCAGCCCGGAACTGCTACATCCCAAATCTAACAGCTCCCTCTGTTGGCATCTGTTCGAACAGATGCAAGAGCGAGGATGCAAAGGGATCGATCTACTCCTATCAGCGCAATCTCCGGACGGAAGGTGATGTCTCTCGGAGGATCTCCCACCTAACCGAAGCCTTGCTTCATTTGTGTCGCTACTCAAACAACTGATAATGGACCATGTCTCCTGATGCTGCATGACCACAGCTCTGCTGAACAGTACGGTGCAGATGGATGTGCTCTGAGGCCCAATGTACAAACACACACAAGGATGCTGTGAAAATCTGCCAACCCTGATATTCTCCCAGGAGAACCTCCCCGTCCTCCCGAACCAGCCCTGAGGAGTTAATCACATTAAATGCACTTGAGCTCTGTCTGGCCCTGGCTGATCACGCAGATTAGCATCTCTGCATACACAGGGAATTCAGACAGTGTGAAAATGATTCACTGCCTTTATTCTGTTAGATCCTTCCCTAACAAAACCTCTCAGGCAGCAAGCCTTGGCAAGGTTGCTTAAACAGATAATAGCACGGCTGTGTAAAATGGTTTCAATACTTCTCCAGAGGCACAAACATAATGAAACCTCAAAAGTACTTCAGATACTTAACTTGCTTACAGAGAGAGGTAACCTGGACTGCCCGCCAAAGCGTTAGCTGAGTTTGCAGAGAAGGCACAGCAGCAGCGTTGACTTCGCATTGAAAACGAGTTCCGAATTTCCCAGCTTGCAGAGCCAAGGGGTGGCCAAGCTGCCTGCTTTGAATGAGAGTGATTTAAACGCATCAACTCTTCCCCAAGAGATGGTGCAAGCAGCAGAGAGAACCAGAATCCCCTCCCTGTGCTCCTGACCTACAACAATGAACACCCAGGTTGGACAAGGTTCAAGACCAGGTTGGACGAGGCCTTGGGTGCCATGGTTTAGTGTGAGTGTCCCTGCCCGTGGCAGGGGGGTTGGAACTGGATGATCTTCAGGTCCTTTCCAACCCTAAATATTCCATGATTCTATGTTGAAAAGAAACCCACACCTCTTTTTTCCCTACGATGTCTCTATAGAAAGGCCATGCGAACCATCTGCTCAGCCTGGATGAGGGACACGGCTGGCAGAGATGTCTCTGGCTTGCATTTGCTCTGTCTGCCCTCCCTATTTTACCTACTGATATTAAGAGGCTTCCCAGCAGCATTCGTGTGTCCTGGCTCTGCGGCACCTCAGATACAGAACTGTAGCAACGAGTCTTTTAGAGACAAAAAAGCACAGAAGGAGGAAAAGAACCACTTTCTTATCAACCCAGCCCCCGTCAGGTCACAGGGATCCCATATTCTCTTGCAGACATCAGCCAGTCGCATCTTTATCTCTTAATATCCCCAGTAAGTAACCCAGCTTAGTGGCACCCGTTAATGGCTCTGCAATTCAAAGTTGGTTGGTATTTGCACTATAAACTCAGCCATTCAGAGACTTCACATGGGTCCAACACACCCTCCAAGAAGAAATTTGGCCAAAACAAAAGGAAAAGCAGGGGGTAACCTAAAGCTTTTCCTGCACCATGAGGGCCCTTGGGGAATCTGCTCCCAAGGCTCAGCTGAAGGTTCCTGGAGCTATCAAAGGGATCCTTTCAGGCTGTAAGCAGGGGGTGGGAGGGAAAGCTGTGAATTGCTTTAATACGAAACGTCAGTCACATTTAAAACAGAACCTCCAAAACCAGACACCGGAGGCTGGTAAACCCTTCCCTTCTAGAGATACTGTGGGGAAACCACTCAAAATAAGCAGAGTCGGGCCTCAAGTCCATAAAATATAGAATTTGGCACTTGGATTTAAAAATATTTATAAATAACTTAAGACATTCAGGCTCAGAGGCGTGTACAGCCGAGTGGTCCCCTCTGACACAGGGAACCGCAGGGATCCACGTCCAGTGCTACGGATCCCCAGTGCAGAAATTTGCTCTATGCTTAACACAGAAACAAAACCTGCCCCTTGCAGGCTCTTTGGAAAGACTCCTGTGTCCCTTTGGGAGCGCATGGAGGATGTGTCTAACCAAGCAAAAAGCATGTGGGAGAATAGATCCATCGTACAGGACGTGACCTGCTCTTCCAATACATTCACAGCATATGGCAAAACAGCTCCCAGGGGATTTCTTGGCTGCACCTACACCATGAGGTCAACCCAGTTATGCCTGATCTTGGGCAACTGCACCTTAGCTTGGCTCTCACATTGGAGGTGCTCTACATTAGCTCAGGGATGGAGTAAAGCCAAGCAGGAGAGATGGGATCCCTTGAGCAAAGATGGGCTCAGCTGATGCGAGAGATTTGCTTTGCCGCATCCCAGCTCAGCATCAATGCAACCTCGTGCCCCTGGGTCCACAGTAGACATCCAGCCAGAAAAGCCTGGAATTCATCTCAACCTGGCTTGTACCTATCAAGCAGGCTGCAAACGAAGGCACGCAAGAGAGGGGTAAGGGCAGAGGTACATCCATTTGGATTATTCCTTTCATTTAGTTCAGAGGACATGTGTCACCATCCGCCCTCCCTGTGGTCCCAAACCACAGCAGCCTTTGGAGACACACCGCATGAGCTGCTTCAGCCACATGGTGTTTGTCCACTACACACAGACTGGGGCACATTGGTCACGCTGGCTGTAAGCTCACTGGAGATGCTGAGCTGGAATGGCTCTGCAGGCCATCAGCTATGCCCTGAGCACACGGTAAACTCTGTATTTCTTTCCTCTCATGGGTTCCATCCAGACCCACAACGTATTTGGTCCCAATATATGTTTTCCTATTAAACACCTAAAAAAGTATGTTCTTTGGCACTTGTGCGATGAAGACACAAAGATGTGACATTCTCCTGCCCTTGGGCTGCCTGCTGGACTCATCTCTAGAGGTCCATATATGCAGAGTCTGTGTCCACCCTCTGGGCCTCCCCGAACAGGAGGAATGCACAGAGGCCAATGCTGTTAACAGCAGCCACCAGGTTGAAAACAGAGATCCAGGAGCCGGTCGTTTCAATCAGGTAACCAGCCAGGTACACGCAAATGACACCTGGGATGGGAGAGAAGAGAAAGGAATGCAAAGGCTCCAGATCCAGGTCCTGTTTTCCTGCAAGGATAGGACTGCCCAGGAGCAGCTGAGATTGAGGAAGGTACTTTACCTAGGAGGGCTCCACCTGTATTCCCAACACCTGTAAAGGAAAGCAGCTATATCACAGGAGGAAGCTGAGGCTGCACGTATGGAATAGACATTGCACAGAGCTCAAACCTTCCTGCTGATGACAGCATTCCCCCCTGCACAAACAGCCCTTCCCACAGGAATCCTTACCGAACAACAAGCCAGCACACGAGGGGGCCAGATCCTGCACGTTCACTGAAATGCCACTAGTGAGAAACACAGAGGAAAAATGGTTCTTTTAATGGAGCACGGCTCCTTTTTCATCATTCACCCCGAGTTCAGCTGTCAAACAAAAGGAAGGGACCAAGGCAATAAATGGCACTGGGGGGGAGAAAGGAGGAAAGAGGCTGAGAGTGAAGCAGCACCAGAGAGTACCAGGAGGAAAAGGATTCAACTTCAAGCGTTTAGAGGGACAAAAATGCAATTCCCTCCCTGCTTCAATCCCTAATCCCTGCTGGTCCCAGCCCTTCCCCACACTAGAAGTTTGCTGCATTATTTCCAACCCACTGAACCCCACCACCCTCACAAGGACCAACACAGGATGCTCAGGCAAGCACCACTTCTTGCTCTGACAGTAATAAGGGAGGCAGCTTCCTTCCGGACCCTGAAATGCCAAGTGTAGGGTAAGAGCTAAGGGCCACAGCTCCTGCTGCTGTAGCTGGTTACCTGTGGTTAAAGGTCTGGAGGCCAACAGAGGCGGAGGCAAACACTATTGCTTTGCAGAAGCTGGAGGTCTGGCCCAGGCACAAAGCAAAAATGCTCGAGACACCGGAGCCAATGACCTGGAAGAAAGGGAAAATCAAACACCACAGCACAGTCTCTGTAGGGAATAAAGTGAGTCCTTTCATGGACAAACTGTTCCCTTCTACAATGGCAAGAGCTCGTATGCACCAGGTGCTTCTCAAGCCTTTTTTTCCTTGGTGTCCTGCCTTTATGTGTCTGTCCAGAGGGATGGGATGCTGCGGGGTGGGAAGGATACGCTGTGCTCTCAACCAGCATTTCTATTTGTGTCCATCCTTGCATTGCTATTTCCTCAGTATCTAAGGGGTCATTTGGAGCGACAGAGTGCAGTTGGCCTCTGCCTGTGAAGGAAAACCTCTCTGGAGCACTCACACATCTCTGTGCTCAGCATCACTTTTGGTCCACGCTCTGTTCCTCAGTCAGGGGTTTGCGCTGTATTTCATTTCCCGTACATACTGATCACCAATCACTCTGCACCCTTTCCCTCTTTCCACCTATAACCACCAGCCCAGCTCCATAAGAAGTCTAATCTTGCCATGTAAGCAGAGCCCCACAGGTACTCAGGTGTGTCTCTTGTGGCTTCAGCTCTTACCTGCATGAACTTACGAATGGTGATGGTTTTGTAGCCTGGAAGAGAAAGGGAGAACTGGAGTTAAGCACAGCTCACCAGGTCTCTTTGCTCTCCAGCCAGAAGACCACAAGGTCAGTGGATTTCATACGGCCAGATTTCATCTCCAGGTGGATATTGCAAGTGAGATCAAAGGGAGCCTCAAGCACATGGATGGGCTTTGAACCCTGAAGTATTTATTCTGCTTTCAAATCAGAACCTCACGTCTATTTGCTGGGTCTTCACCCTACCAACAAGCCCACCTCCTCCCAGCCAGGTCCTCTTCCCACATCACATAAAATAAGAGCTGAGAAAAAGCCAAAAGAGCTCTTACCTTGGCTGATTAAATGATCAGACAGAAATCCACTGAACAAGCTTGTTGGAATCGCAACCAGCCAGGGGACTACATTAAACACCCAATCCTGAAAGGGAGCAAAAGTCAACAGAGGTTTGCTGTCAGAGCCGAGTTTCTTTGCAAACACTTTATGTGATAGTCTGTGTTATCTGTAGAAAGGAAAACAAATGGAGTGATCAGGACTGCTTGCATGCTCTCTACCCCCTTTATACAGCAAGCTCCCTGCTACACCCTGCATGACCCCAAAGTATTTAAGGCATCAGGAGCATCACGGGGCTGTAGCATCTGTGGGTTTCTTGTCTTTCCTTTTGCCCTGGTGACCCTGCAGAGGCAGAAAGCTCTGGGAAAGAGGGATTAAAGTTTACTGCTCCTAAAGGTGATGTGGCAGAGCCATAGAGCCCTGCAAAGCAAGTACAGACTTTACTCTGCCCTGTGGGTCATCAGTAAAGCTGCCAGCAGGATTCCGCCATTAGCTTCAGCCTCATTAGCAGCATCCCTGTGAAGCTGAGGGAACAGAGCTGGATTTTCTAACGTCAGGATTAGGAAGCGTTATGGGCAGCAACATATTTTGGCCTATTTTCAATTAAGCGAGCTTGCTGCAGTTGTAATCACAGATGATTACCGGACATCAGGATTAGAGCAGATCAGAGGCGTTTTGGTGCCCAGATCCCACGAGGAGCTGAAATCAGTGCGGGTTGGGCTGAGCTTCATCTCAGCTGGTTGAACCATCCATCATCCCCAGGGTATCCCTGTCACCCATGGGGGCATCCCTCCCTTCTTTGCCTGGTTTTAGGATGCCAGCTCTTGGGTGATCTTGGATTTGAACAATCCTGTTCCTGGATATCACATTAGGGTCCATTTCCAGCTTTCAGCGCCTCAGAACTTTGGGTCTTGATCACTTTTGGAAGTGCTACCCTATAGGGCTTGTGGTTGGGTGTCTGTTAACACAGACTGGGGTGGCTCAGCAAGTCAATCCCAGCACTCTGAACTGCCCATCCCCACAGCCCATCACCTGGAGCCAAACCCCTCCATCACCTCCATCCTGATGGGCTGCCAGCAGCGGTAAGGGCAGCCCACCTGCAGAAAGGGACATTGACCAGTAGGCGACACAGGCTTCCCACGTTAAGGATTATCATCCATCCTTTAAAATCAAGCATCCTCAAGCCCCTTTATATTAAAACATATGAAGCGATTACCAGATGCAGGAACGCTCATAGAGCATCTTACATAAAGGCACCATGATATAATGCTGAACAGATGGGAAATTACTGCTGCACAAGCACATTACTTGAGGTGCACAGATCTTGTCACTACAATATGTTTGCTCGTTTTAATACATGATTTTAATATGAATATCAAGTCTGCCATAAAGCACTTTGCTCATGTAATAGGAAAAGGCATTTGTAAGCAGCTCTGGAAAGTATAAAAACCTAACAGAGCCTAAAGATTGTCTTGAGTTTCTGAGAACCAGATCTAAATAGCAGCTCTCAGCCCAGATGAGCATTGCCTAGGCTTCTGATGAATGGGAGCATCGTTGGTGCTGAGGAGAGGGAAGCTGTTGTAGTAATTTTGTATGTGCTATTAAAGGTAATTATGATTTTCTCAGGCCTGAGATATACAATTCCAGTACAGGTGAAAACCCAAATGTGAATGGTGGTCATTTGCAACTGCATAGCATCATGAGCTCTGTGCCATTTGGAGACCTCAGAAGAAAAGCAGTCTAAAAGCCAAATATAACCCTCTCTTCCCTGTCATGAAGTGGCTCCAGCTCCACCTCACTTCAGCATCCCTAAAGAAGCAACTAGAAACCAGCCTCTGCCTACCTGAAGGGAGGATGCACCTCCAAATGTATGTGCAGGGGAACAACAGCTCCTAACCCCACAGAGAAACCTCCCGCCTCCTCCTGCTTCCCAGCCTGCTCTTACCAACTCCCTCTGCCATCGTATCCCTCCCTAACAACCCATTTCAGCTGGTACCCAGCACGACCTCATGTGCGCAGAGACCTGCAACGCCTCGGAGCCAACTTACTTTTGACTCGGGGAAAGTTTCCTTAAAGAAAGTTGGCAGCCAGGAGAGGAGAGTGAAAAACGTGCTGGCCGTGGAGAGCTGAGCGATGATGACAGCCCTGGAAACACGCAGCAGAGAGGAAATCATCAGGAGGGACAAGTCACTTTGGAAACAGGCACTCGAGCAACCAAATCTCTCAGCTCCTGCTCTATAAAGGGATCCCTCGCAGGGCTACAATTGCTTCCTGCTGTTTCCATAGGTAATGACTCCTTTTGGCTCGCCATTCCCAGCACTGCTGGTTCCTCCTCCTCATCATCACTCAGTGCCTGCATCAGGTAAGGTTAACTGCAGCAGCAATTGTGTGAGTGCATTTCCAAGTGCTGAGAGCTGGCCTGCTCCGAGAGGTGTTTAGGGCTTCCTAGGGATTTGTTATCAGCAGATGCTCCATGGTTATTCAAGGCAGGAATGGGCTTGCTGCCCTGCAGCCCCACCACCCCTCCTCCCTGTCTTAATGCAGCACTTGGGAGCATGCTTGGATGAGCTTCAGTACCGAATGCATCATCCCGAAGGAAAAAGAGCTATTAAAAAGATGTTTTGCCACCAGTGAGAACACCCCCGAGCAGCACTTCTTAGGAGCCCATTACAAGCAGCATTTCCAACCAGACTGGTGGAGAATATTACTCCAGAGGGGCACACAACATCCAGGAAACAGCCTGTGAAGGAAAAGGATTTGCCAGTAACATTGAAGCCTGACATTCCTCTGGATAGGACATAAACCCTTTTGTCAAGCTTACCTTTTTAGTTCTTTATTTATACAGAAGGGGTTGGAAAAGCTGGTCGTGTTGCCCAAAGACATAAATAAGTGGACAAAACACACATATGCAGAAGAAATAAGCACAGAGGGGAGGAAAAGCCCTTGGGAGGAGGCTGCTCCCCAGCCCTGCCAATGCTCAAGGCCACCGGAGCTGCCTACCATATCGGTGCCTTCCTGAACAGCTGCTTCCAAGGAACTTTGGTCTGCTTGGATATGGAGAGGCCTCTCATTAAACAGTCTATGGGGATGATGAGCTCTGCAGGGAAGAAAACGTACAAAGGGAAGCTTTGATCAGTGATTTTCTGTGCAGCTGGGAGGGAGCTTTGGGAGGCCGCTGTACAGCTACCTTCAATCTCCTCCTCACCCTTGTTTTTTGGCTATACAGCTATTGAATGCTCCTGAAAAGACCTTTTCATATGGACCAACGTTTTCCCACTGTATCCACATACTTTTCCCATCCAGCCACCTTCACCCATTTGTTATATTTCCTGTTATAATGAATGAAAAATCCCTTGGGCAGGGACCAGGATTGCATTTTGTGCAGCATCAGCCACACGCCAGGCTCCTGATGAGCTGGGCTCCCACACGTCACACTGTACTAATAATGCTGTAGCCAGATGTAAGGCTTTCCCCATGTGTGGAATTACTCCCAGACAGTTACCTCGGAAGAGACATTCCAGATTAACTGGTTTTTAAAAGCTCTGTGTGTAAATGCTCTTTGTTTGGAATAAGAATCTTGCCCTGCTTTAGCTTAATCCACTTTGAAGATCATGCTCTGTGTGATGTTTTCACTGGTACTTAAGGGGACCGAGGAGTCAGATCAGGCTCTTGGCAGCAATATAATCCAGTGTGGGACTTGGAATAGGAAATCAGCAATGCCAGAGCTCAAAACTGCCAGCACAAGGGATACAGGTGACTGGATTTACCTTTCTCACTCAGGAGGTACTTGCAGGTGCAGTAAACCCAGAGCAAAGTGAGCAAACCAGAGAAGTAGAAAACGCTTTCCCATCCATACCAATCCAGGAGGAGAGATCCAGCACCACCAATCACCAGTGTCCTGCAAGGAAAAACACCCTTGGATTACAGGTTTGGTCAAGAGCATTGGGACTGGATGCATCAGTGGGAGATGCTCCCCAGGGTGGATGCCACACATCACTAAATGCACTTAAAAGAGCTGCTGCACATCAGCCCTATCACACTGTGTCTTTGGAACCTGCCCTACTCCCTGCATGGCATCTTGGGCCAGATCCTCGCTCGGGCAGGAGAAACCATGAAAGGATCTCACCAGCCCCTCGAACACACATACCAGTAAAGAACATGGGGTTACTGGGGCACAGGAAGCATCTCAGAGAATGTGTAACACTGGAAAGCCAAGTGATTAAACACAGGAATGTTTCCATTTGGCTTTTAAGCAACCCTTCCATTTAGAAAGAATATTCTCGTGGCCATTAACATGAGACGTTACATTACCCCATCTATCAAAGAGGACAGGTGAGCAGTTTCAGGCCAGCCCTTGCTCTTCCTACCGAATCAGCCTGTTTCCCATAGTAATTCGAATGTTGCAAACCCCCTTCAAAGTCTGGCTTGAAAAGAAAGCTAAAACCATACATAAACCCTTGACATGCCCCACAGCAACTGCCTGAGGCTTCCTCAGCTGCAGCCGGTGTCCTCAAGGGCCCGGGAAGCCACGTGCAGTTTGGGCTGTGGGTTTTGCCTCCAAGTCTTCAATGGCATTTCACCACGTAGGATGTCCAGAGACTGCTGCTCGCTGCTCAAAGCCTTCTGGACTTACCCAAACTGCGAGCCGGTCCCCACTGTGCTGTAGGTGAAGGCTCGCTCGCTCTCACGGACCTTCTGGGATAGCAGGCTGGCCAGAGATGGGAAATACACCCCTATAAGCAACGGGAGGAGGGCAGGGAGCAGTCAGGCTCCTGTGCCCTTGAGAGCAAACCAACAGCAAATGGAAAGAACCCAGCAGGAGATAAACACCGAGAGAAAGCACCAAAACCTCTGGTGAATACAAAACAGGGGTATAAAACAAGGAAAGTGAATCCATCACCATGGAAGTTTTGTTTGTGGCCTTCTCCATAACCCCTGGTTTCATCATTACCCTGGCTGCTGTAAATCCATCGGTGCCAATGCACTTATCCCAGCAGCTCCCAAGCGCTGCAGCTTGGCAGGAGGGAAGGGAAATCATCCCAAATGAGCCAAAAGTTTTAGCAAGGACTGACTTTAGCCAAGTGCTTTGAAGGGGTTTTAAGACGTGGAAAACCAAGCAGGAACAGGGGTGGTTTCAGAAGCAGCAGCCCTTGCCCGGCACAGAGATTTCTACAGGGGAATGATTTGTCAGTGCCTTTCTCTAGAGATGTCACCTTCTTTTCCAGTGGAAGTCCTGGATGTGGAGACAGTTTTGAGGCAGAGAGGATGGCTCAAACATGCAGGAGAAGGGTCCATGCAGCCCAAAGCACATGGCTTGCATCTGAATTCACTGCACAAGAGCCCCCGTGCAAGGAAGCCCATGGGCAGACGGACACAGGCACGGGCTCAGGACATGGGTCTCACCTTGCAGCAACCCCATGAGGAACCTGGAGGAGGCCATGAAAGCGAGATGTGCAGAAGTGATGTGGGTGAGCAGCGGGGTGAGCACCGTGAGGAACCCCCAGGCCGATGCCGACAGGAGGAGGACTTTCTCACCTCCTATTCTGGAACACAGAAACCACGTTATCAAAACCAAGGGGAGGGCGAAAGGGCAAAGCCCCCCAGCCAGGACCCAAGGGCTTTTCCCATTTCAGCCTGTTTTTAAGAGCCACCTTTCAGACAAACCTGTTCTTCCCTCACAAACGTCTTTAGCCCCTCAGGAGCAGCTGTGACCTCCTGTCCCTTCCCACCTCAGCCTCTCCTGGAGCAGGCAGTGAGTTGGGATTGCTCCCACCAGGACACTGGCCACCAGTGCTGCCCACACAGCTCCAGCACACACCAACCCTAGAGGCAGCACCACATTGATGTGCTCAAGGCTCTAACAGAGGGGAAGCTCAAGCTGGCATCGCCATCCTGCTTCTCTTATTCAGTGATGGTGTTTTCTCTTCCATCTGCTCCTTTGCACCAGATCTGCCTGTTCAGATGTGAGTTTTTGCTTGCAAACTACTGAGGAACACAATGAAACAGCATAGTGCACTGCATGGATAAGGTGCCTCTTCCAGGCATGTGTTCCTCACAAAGGATTTCACAGGAAAAGCCTCATAAGAATGGGGTGGCTGGGGTAAGGAACCCGAGCAGGTGATTACTCAGATCTTTCCTTACAGTTAGCTGGGGAAGTTGGTTTTTAATTGATGTGATAAAATGGAGACACTTGTTTTCCCCAAACATGATGGAAACTGTGATGGGGGTTTGCTTGTGCATGAGAACAGAGGGTGGAAAAACTGGAGGTGCTGAACTGAAAATGAAGGCGGGCTGTGCAGATCAAATCGAAGCTGTAGGGCTTGCAAAAGGAAATGTTTTCTTCTTGTGATTAGTGACTTCAGCTATAAACCCTTCCTGTCCAGCACTGCTGGGGTCAAACTGTTTGTAAATGGACAATGAGCAGCAGCCATGAACCCCAGTTCATGAAGAGCATCAGCATTTATCACTTCCCTAAAATAAATCCTGCTTCACACCCACTATTTCTTTCATATAAGCCTGTGGGTTTGCTTTTTTCACTCCAATTACAGAAGCAGTGCTAAAAACAACCTCCATCAGAGGAATTACGCTGGTATAGAAGTGCTCTTCACTGTTTCCAGGTGACAAAACCCCTATGTTGGTCTGAAGTGTCCATTAATGTGACTGTAGATCTCTCCTGGCAGTTGCTCTGTAGGAGCTCTTGAGGCCATAATGGTTGTGTGGATACCCCCTGTGTTTGCTGGGCATTTTGGCTATGCAAAGTCCATCAGTGCACACTGCCCTGTAAGCAGTGCAGCAATTTCAAGGCAAAGGAATCTAATCAGACAAAACTACACATCCCCTTTGAGTCAGAGCTATAGACCCTGAGTGAGGCTGGTGGAGAGACCTCAACAGCTCTCAGAGCAATCTGCAGTGCCCCATAAAGCATCTCCCCATGGATACCCTTCACCCCATCACTGTCCCAAGGTGAAACTTGGCACTGCCAAGACTAGAACTGGGGTTGGTCAAAACCAATCTGTGTCATTAAATAAAGCCCGAGCAGAGGCCAACATGAGAACAGTTTCCAGTACTGGTCACTGATGTGTCCCCCGATAATCTGTGTCAAGCAGTAGCCCCAGAAGAAGCTGCTGAGCACTATCCCGGACTGCTTCTTGTCCCAGTCGAAGTAGGTGCTCAGGGCGACGGCGCAGATGGGCACGGTGACACGGGCGCAGTACAGCAGGCACGTCCCCAGCAGCAACATCACCGTCCAGACACGGGCCTCGGGTCTGCAAGGAGGGAGAGGAAGATGGGGAACGGTCTGTGGGGTAGATCCATGCACAGCGAGGGCTCACGGGTCAGTCTTCGCTTGCAAGCTGAGTCTGTCTTCAGAAAGGTCAATGCAATCCCCTGTGGCACAGTGGTTCTGACACAGCTGGTGACTTTATGAATGATGCTAACTTTCAACCCAAACACTATTTGACCCCAGCAGTAAAATAACGCCTGTCCAGAGGCTGCAAGGTGGAATGGGCAGCTCCTGCATTGCTGTGGATAGAGGGAAAGGAGGGGGAACCGGTTTGCATTTTTTTCCCCAAACAAAAGCTTTAGAAACTGTTCTTCAAAAGATAAGGGTAACAAAGGAAAGGTCAGTGCATGAGGTTGGAGGTATTTGCATAAGACACACCGTCTTGGTAGCAAACATTTGCTATTTGGCATTCCTACCCATTCCCCAGGGAGGGTGGCTGTGTGGTACTCCTCCTAAACAGGAGAGAGATGGAGGTTTTCTTTAGTAAGAGACAAGATATGATGGGGCTAAATAGCCCAAAGAGAGGAGCAAGATAATCCAGGCTGGCCTGATAAGAAGCCTAAGATAATATGAGCAATAATACATTAACAGAATACATTTTCTGGTACATAAGTACCCAGCCTCAAGAAAAGTGCACCCCCCTTCAGAAGATACAGGCTGGAAATAAGTGGGAAAGCAGTTTTCTCCTGCTCCAAGTCAGCAGTGTTATTCTGGAGCAGAGACCCACATCCTCCTGTAAACTTCAAGCTGCGATACCTGAACTCTTCTGCCTCCCCTCAGTCCCACTAACATCAGCCTGGATCCCCCTTTGCTGCGAATCACAGAGTTGAAGGCTTAGTATGAACCCCACCATTTGTATTTGGTTATTTCTATGCCCAGAGCACAAAAGCACTGGGCAAACAGACTCGCTCTGCTCCAGAGATGACTGCGGAATTCACCGTACCGGGGCATTAACCTCTGTGCTTTCCACCCCACTAAACATACCCACCTCCCGCGCGGGAACCAACCTGGGTCACTTCGTGTGTCAAAGTGAGCACTTATCCCTCTGTCCTGGAACGATGATAAATGCAGGTTAATCCCACACAGCACAAACCCATTTATAAACGTGTCAAACGGCCCCTCACGGCGGGAGGCAAAGGAACAATGAAAAGGAGAACACGCCGGGCACTTGGACCCATCGGAGGTGGATTTATTGCTGTTTGCTGGCAGGGCAGATAAGCAGCTCAGTGCCAACCTCTGGCAGGAGGCACTGGAAGGGTTTCAGTTGGTGATTTGGAGGTTGGAACTGTTGTTACTGTGGACACGTAGGAAATAACACAGGAACCAGAAAACCTCACGTATCTTTGCTGGGGGAATGGGTAAGCACGGGTTGAACTGCCCCATTTGAACTGATAAACGCTCTCAGAGTCCCTCCTGGTCCCGCAGCAAGAGGAAGGGATGCAGCAATCGTACCTGAAGTTGGTATGATTTGGGTTTTAATCAGCTCTGGGATCAGCAGATCCACCAACTTCACCTTCCCATGGGAAAGCACAATGAAGCCAAAGGCTCCTGGATGCCACGTGGCCTGGTCAGACCAAGCCCAGCAGGACAACGTGGGCAGGGCTTGGGTATAAATCTCCCATCAGAGGGCAGATGGGGAGCAACTGGCAATGGAAAACGTTATGGAGGGGAGTCTGAGACAATCCAAGACGGGATGCTCGCAGGTATAAGCGACCAACCTTCTGCACCCATCAAAATGGGCTGTTGCCAGAGCAGCTCCATAATCTCCCCTGTTATCTCCAGTGATTATTTTGAGCTATTGAACCTGCAGCTATTGAGGTGACAAAGTCAAAGGCAGCAGCCTGCGATGTGCGTAGGTATCTCCTATTATTTAGCTGCCAAGGTAGTTTTCTACATTGTGCTTTTCCCCCTGGAGCAAAGGGAGAGCTTTATGAGTTTTCTCACTGGATGAGCTCTGCCTCTTCTCCCAGCAGTTATTCTGATGAACACAGCAGCATTTAATGGGATATTAGAACGACATTTCTTCCTTGGCCCTAAACCTTGTCTGGCTCTGCTAGGTGTGACATGGAGAGAAAAAGACTTGTGCAGCTCAACCAGCCTTTACTCTGCTTCTCTTTGTAATATTGCCATGGTCTGTTCCACGTTAGCAACTGGGAAACGCAGCAATGACCGTGCCCAAGGAAGGTGCAGGCACAGGTTGGTGCTAATGGATTGAACCCCACATGGCAATGAGCAGGCTGCCAGGCAGCTCTGGCTTCAGGGCAGAGAGGCAGGAGGGGATGCTGTGAGATCCCAAGCTTCTTTGTCACTCCAATAAGGAGGGCAGAGCCACCCAAGCCCCCAGCCCCTGTGTTGGGGCACTCAGGGGGATTTAGGGGTGTGGAGGGACGAACACCATTCAAAGCACAGCTCAGATACAGCAGTGGGAAGGGATTCCCATGCAGGGATGCTCTCCTGACAATCCTCATCCCCAGGTGATGTTTGGATAGAAATCCAGTGAATTTATTCTCTTGACTTATATGCTTTTTCAGGAGCACTATATAAGCCCCTAGGTACATGATGCAGTGCCAATGCTTTGATTACTCCACTCTATACATTCATATTCTCCTCCCATATGTTTAAATGCATCAGTAGAGACTTGTGCTCAAAACAAGTGGAGGTGATAAAGACGGCTTCAGACTACCACTTGCTCCACAGGTAGCATATCCAGGTAGGACAATCCACTCAAACAATACGAGTGACAAATGTAATCACTGGGTGCCCACACCCACTTGAGAACATAGCAAGAATTATTCCTCTGCAAGGACAATGATGTGCTTGCATCAGAGGAAAGAGCTCTTAAATGCATTTTCTCCTAATTGTAGTTATCACAGAGGCTGCCGATGAGTCAATGCTCTGCTCAGTGAAAAACAACAACAGCAAAGGTTACAGGAGAAACCTCCACTAGCACAGAGGGGGGAAAATAGAGCTCTCCTTCAAAAAGTAAGGAATAATGACAACTCAAACACTAGTTTTGGGGGTAAAAGCAGCCGTCTGAGAAGTGGAGCTTTATCAGGATTAATGAATTTAGTCTAATGGATTAACTGAGGAGGGAGGTAGAGATAATCTGTGCTGGAGACAACCAAACTGAGTCAGAATAAAACCTACCTAAACTTAAGGAGGTCGCAGCCATCGGTGTCATTGGTGCCACCATGCCCATCCCACCAGCCAAGAGGACAGACTGAGCATCTCCCCACAATGGTACTGGCTAAGCCCCAGCTATGTGGGGCAGAAACCTCCATGAGAACAGGCAGCCACCCCCAAACTATTGGCAGGTGAACAACCAGAGCTTGTCTGGAGACACCTAATTGACTGAATTGGATGCCCATGATGGCAGTGACTCGCTGGTGCCCAGTCTGTGCTCTCCTGACCTGTCCTGCCTCTCTGCTTCCAGGCACTGCAGGTGCATCCCCTCTGCATGGCACCAAAACCCTCTTTACTGAGTGCAGCAGTCATGAAGCTAGAAAACACTTCCTATTTCATAACCGCCAACCACCACCCAGACAGACTATAATTAGTTCAAGCCCTAATGACTCTTCCTGGGTGGCTTTTGTATTGCAGCAGCCCTACATTTGAGCAGCTCTGCTTGATGTCCCTTGGTCCTCCTCTAAACACAGCCCTGGGTGCTTGGGGGGGGGGGGGGGGGTCACAGCTTTGCTTTTCAGCACCCAGCGATGCCCTTGGGACCCAGCTCCCACCAACCAAACAGGTCCCCTGCCCAGGGCGCAGTGGTTAGGATTGATTTCCAAGGATGCCCGAGAGCCCTAAAGAGGCAAACCCAAGCTGAGCTGTCCTGCGGTGGAAGGGGAGCCAGCAGCACAGGGTATCTTTATTTGCAGTGTGTTTTCCTGCTGGAGGAATTTCTCCAGTAGATGCCACAGAGCAAATATTTATTTAACTTTATTTCTCTTGACTTGCTCCCTCCTTTCCCCCTGCTCTGTCTGTTGGCAGACACTGCAGGGCACTGTTAAAATGGACTTGCTGGAGTTGAGGCTATCAATCAGATCACAGTTTAGTACCCCCTTCAAGGCACGGGTTTGGGCCGTTGGGTATTTTCAGGTGGTAAAAGAGCTGTGTTAGCAATGCTACAAACAGCCTGCCCCAGCAACAGCTCTTGGCCAGAAGCTGTCTCTGAGGTTTGTGGGTGTTTTCCATAACTGGAAGTGGGAGAAGATTTGGGAGCTGTAGCTCCTGATCTGCGCTGGAGCAGTGCCATGGCCAATGTGGGCACAAGCACCGGCAGCAGGGCACACCGCCTACCCTTAGGGCATCTTCACCTCAGTTCCCTTCTCTATAAACAGACTGAAATAGCTCTGTGGGAGATGCACGGAGGATACATCCTCAGGAGCCACCTCCACTGCCCCCAGCCTGCTTGCTCATCCCCACCACCAGCAGTGGACACTCGCTCATCCCTGCCAGAACCCCAGAGCAGGATGGGGATGAGCCCACATGCTGGTCCCCAGCTCCCAGCCACACTGAAGGGCCAACAGCTCCAGACCAAGGGCACCCTGCAGCCCAAGCATGGGACCACCTCCCAGGGGAACATCCCCAGCACATGCCTGCGGTCCCCCTCTGCCTGGTCACTTGCCTCAACATGGGATGCTTCCCTCCTTGTCACCCATTCCCAACCCCATTGGAGCATCCCCCTTCTAAAACCTCTTTTCCACCTTACTTGCCTATGGCTTTAATTTACTGTAATCACCACCACAACTGCAGCCTGACTGATGTGGCATAAACACGGCAGCCATGCCCACACTCCTGTGCAGGCAGGTAATACCCAGGTAGTTATTTCTAAGGCACTTTGACCGTCCTCTCACTGCTCCCTCAACAAGAATTCCTCCCTCCCTTGGAAATCCATCACGCTTGTCAAGAGAGAGGTGAATTCCTCCCCTCCTCGAGCTGATTCTGTCACGCTGCAGACTGGCTCCAAGCTAATGATTTGTCGCTGTCAAAAGGAGCTTTGGGGTTTAGAGGAGGGGTTTTTTCTCTCCCCATGCACCCGCTGACAGCCAACAAGAGCAGCACAGAGGACACTGGGCTTTTTTAGCTGGGAAAGTTGCTGGTTTCCTGCCCGCCTCCTGTGCACAAGCTCCCTGTGCAGAGCCGCAGATGGCAACAAAGTGGTGCTCAGCGAGCACGGCTCTGGGTTTATTCCCTCTCTTCATTTCTTGCTTTTGGCAAAAGCAGGGGTGAAATAAGATTTCAGCAGCTCATATGAGCTGGAAAGGGTTGTTAAGTGGAGGTGGTGGGAAAACATAATGCTACAGCACTCGCATGCTTTGCACGCTGATCTAAGGGCATTCATGGGGCAGCCAGCCTGAACTGTGTCTTCCTTATGTTTTCCAAGGGGATAAAGTCCTCAGCAAGGTCATGATTAAAACCAGGGTGAGGAATGGGTACAATAAAATAACCCCACCACCAACAAATGCAACTAAAGCTGCAACATCGTGTTGGCAGGACTCAGAAACACAACGGGACCGCTGGCTCCAGGCACGGTCAGGAGCGCAGTCAGGAGACTGGAGACCAGCCTGAGGCCAGTGCTGTGACTCCTGTTATCTCTGGAGCTTAAAGAAACGGATAGAAAATCCCTTGTCTTCGGGTGTAGCCAGAGGCTGGGAGAGGCAGAGTGGTTTCGGGAGTCATCTCTTTCCCAGGACACACTGACTTTTCCATGTTGTGTTTATCTGCTGGAGGCACCACCCCAAATGCCAGCCCCATATCTGCTGCTGGACCCACTTTGTGTGCAGCCTTTGGCAACTGAGTTATCTTCTTACTGCTTCGGTCCTCCCCCGGTTAAACCAGAGATGCTTAAACACATCTACATGCCCCGGTCCTGCCTTGGCACGTTAAGATCTCCATTTAAAAGTGCTATCTAAATGTCCAGATGCGCTACATAAAGTGCTGCTCTTGGAAGAGGAAGAGGAGACACGCAATAACGGAGCCATTGGAAACCTGCACAAACGTTTGGGAAAGGCAGCTGGAAAGGCAGGATGAAACACAGGGCAAGAACATGGAAGAGGAAGGAAAAGCCATCTGAGAAAGGGGAGGACAAAAGAAGAAGCAGCATGAACAAAGATGGCAAAATAAACCTGCCAAGATAACTGCTGATCCCTCCTTGCACTGACGGCGCAGACAGATCTTGGAAGGCTGCCTGGTATGTCTTTTGTAGGAGCACGAAAGGAGAACCCATGTCACTTCCCCCACTTGATAAGACCTTGCCTTCCTGGCAAGAACTCACACTGGGAAATGGGGAGAGCTCTTTATTTGCATATGCTGTTTGAAAACTGGCCACCAGATTGACTTTAAACCACCCAATGAGGGATTTTATCCAACTCAACCAACCTGCACCGTGATGTGGCTGCTCACTCCTCCTTTCTGCTCTTCCTTTGCCCTTCCCACCCTCTGCCTGCCCATAAAGCCTAGTCGATCATGGGCTGTGACCACATGTGTGTGTCTACACCAAACAACAGGCAAAGGAGCTCAGCTTCTGTAAATGACAGCAATAGAGATAAGGATCTGATGGGAGTAATGGTTATCCTGCTGCTCCTTCCCCGTAACCAGGTTCTTTCTATTACTAGCAGCACTTAAGATGATCAGAATCACTGCAAAATACGTCTGTCTCGAGCCACAGACTGTCTTCATCTACATCCACTTTCATTTGGGAAAGTGTTATCGAGGGGTTTCAAAGAGATTTGGGGAAACAGGAGGGTTCATTCTGGCCAAATGTGTTGATTTTGTACTAGAGGAAGAACATCTAAATGGAAATTCGCTTCATGGAAACTTGGTGCGAGGTTCTTCCTCTCCCACCCCTCCTGTTTCACAGAGGGAAAAGTTAGAAAGGGGGAGACAGAGAGAAAGGAATATTCCTAAGTGCTAAAATTTTCCAATTTTAAGCAACCCCAGCACCAAAAGTCTGCTTTTGAGACCTTTTAGGTGAGATAAGCATGGGTTTGATTGGAATTTCGGGCTTTGACTGCTGGAAAAATCCCCTTGGGGATGGAAGTTTAAAGCAGCCATCATCCTGCTGCCCCTGCAGGAAGTGACTGATGATAAACCTCGATTTATCCAGTGGCTGCCTGTTGTTGTTGGAAAGGGCAATCCCTCCCCTTGGTGTTCCACCTTCCACTGGACCATGTTGCTCAAAGCCCCATCCAACCTGGCCCGTTTGCTTATCCCCCGACTGTTAAAAGTGCTCAGTTTGGGCTTAATAATGTTTTAAGTGTTTTAATTACTTAACTTCAAGAACGGTTCGTGCTGCTGCCCAGCAACTATTCCAGACTTTACCTTAAGTAATTATCATCACCAGCACAAGCATCCCTGCTGCAACACTTCGATAAGAATCTCTCAGTGGTCTCAGCACTATGACTGCAGGCCAGAAATAAGCTCAAAAGGCTTTTTCCCCCTCTTGTTTCACACTAATCCCAGACCTTCCCCTTTTCCTCTACCATCTCCGTTGGAGCCGGCAAAGCGAAGCAGCGGGGACTGCCCGGGGTGGTGAGGCCGCGTACCCCGGTCCCATCCTCCTGCACCCGCGGGGGGGGGAGGCAGCACCGGGGCGATGCGGGCTTGGACCGGCCGCATCCCGGCCGAGGTCCCGACGCGGAACACCGGGCGCTCCCGACCCCCCCTCAGGCTGCCCGACCCCCTCCATCCCGAAGCTGCATCTTTCCCTGGAGCTGCATCAGGCGGCGGCGAGGGACCGAGGGATGCTGTGGGGGGTGTCCCGGGAGAGCGCTGCGAGCGGGGAAGCAGGGTCCAGCCTTACCTGGACCAGTGCGGGTCCCCGCCGCCATCCCTCCTCACGCCGCCGTGCTCGGCGCTGCTCACCGGCACCTTCCTGCCGCCGCCACCCGCGGCCATGCGGGCAGCGCCTTCCGCCTCGGCTCCGCTCACATCGCGGCGGCCGCCGGCTCCCTCCCCCTGCCGGGCCGCGGCCACGTGTCAGCGCCTCCCGCCGCCCCGTTCCGGGAAGTCCCGCAGCGGGCGGGTCCCGGTCCCTGTCCCCGGTGCCGGTCCCGGGGCGGTGTCGAACCCGCGGCCCCCGGCGGGGTCGTGGTCTCCATCCGGCACCCACAGAACTGCGGGGTTTTAGCTCTTTCCCCTTTTCCTTCGGTAAATACTGACCCCCCCCATCGGCAAAACCAAACGGGGTTACGAGAGGGGCTGAACCGTGTCCCTCCTCACCTGATACCAGACCGCAACACTTGCGGAGCCCCCTGCGCCTCCAGCTTCCATGGGTTTGCGAGCAGAAGAGTCTCGCTCTGCTTTCTCAGGATTAGAATTGAACATTATATTCCTATCTAAAGAATTTAATGAATAAAGAGGAATCGGTGTTGTTACAGCTTGATTTAACTCTGTTGCATAGGGCTGAGGTCATGATGTAACTGAAAGAAAGGACCAGAGTCAGTTATAGAAATAGAATCACAGACTGGTGTGGGTTGCAAGGGACCTTAAATCATCTAATTCCAACCGATCCACATCTTCCACGAGACAAGTGTGCAAGAAACTCAAAATAGATCATTAAAACGGTGGTTATTTCAGTCAAAATAAGAGGACTCATGACTCATTTCAGGAATATCAAGGGAGCCAGCAGAAGAGCATTACAAAATCATCCAGGTGATTCTGTGGCTGGCAGCAGCATGGATGCAGACACAACAAAACCTGAGGTCAGCAAAGGACCGAGGAGCTTCTGCCCAGGCTCACCAAGGTCATACACAACCCTGGGGAAGGCGCCAGCGTCTGGGTACCAAACTGCACCAGGTACAGGATGCAGGTGCAGGGCAGGCATCTCCCCTCTGCTCCTGTAAATGCCCACTGAAATCAAGCCTTTAGCAGACTGATGTTTACCTAACTCACCCATTCTTCTTCTAACATGAATACCTTGCAGGTCCCTAGCAGTCAGCTACTTAAATCAAGAGGGGTAACTGCATTACCGAGTTGAACTTCAGGGAGTCAAATAGCAAAGAGGTTCCTTATGCCCATAGAGAACTCCAGAAGAAGGCTGCCAGGGCTGACCAAAGCAAGAATCATACTTTGCCCTTTGCTTCAGCATTTCTTCCTCAGAGATATGTACCCCAAAATGCCCTTGACACAGTCACACAGACCTGCTGCCAGCTGAGAAAAGCAATACAAGCTTTGCTACAAGTGGAAACTGAGAGGAACCATGTGTAGTAACCACAGGGCTTAACCTCCATCCAGTAGTAAGCTTTCCGCCCTTTATTTGGACAGGAAACTGGAAACTATAAAGTATTTTTATTCACTCTGCTACTGTGTCCGTTTCCAGAAGAGGGAGCCAAGGCATGGGAAAACGCAGCCAAAAATCAAAGCCATTGTTCAACGTGGGGGGTTTTAAACAGTGTGTATGCTTGGAGTTAATTCAAGGCAGGAGGGGACCCGAGTGCTGATGTAACTACACAAGTGAAATGCATGTCATAAGCTCAGAAACGAACTAAAGAAGTCTTGGGCATGGGACAGTAATCACATCTACAGACAACTTACTAACTTGAACCCCTGCATGAGTTACTGCTACGCTAAGTCTCACTGCTGTGGGATGCAAGACACAACAGCAGCTGCTAACTTACCAAAATAAGGATGCAGTTTAGAAATCAAGCACAGTGCAGCTTTCTTTAGGTATTGTAACTCTTCAGTTCCTCTCCCTGTACCATTCAGTATCACCTCCCCAGTTAACAGCTGCTTTAACTAATTTGCATTTCACATCAGCAGCAAGTTTTACTGTCCAAAATAGCTGCAGCTAAAAAAAGCATTTGAGTGTAGCATCTCTTGCATGCACATAAATAAGAAATAAAACCACAGATTGCATCATTTTCTGGAAGCAAACCTCCCACTGAGCCAATTAAATGGGAAATGGAATTAGTTCAGAAGACAGGTGCAAGAGCACCATCTCCTACCATTTTCCCTGCGTTCAACTTAATCTGTATGAAGATTCAACCACACAAAAAGATTATTGGGTTAATATATGAGCTGAATTATCACTGGAGCTTATTTACATAATAGTTGTAGTTGAAGATTTTATGAAGCACACCTCAAGACCAAATCCTGAAGGAGTGTGAAAGGAGAAAGAGGCTCACAGGTTCCCGAAGAGTCAACTGTCTCCTGAAAGGCCAGTCCAAGTGCAGCCTGAAAGCCTCCTGCTAACCAAGAGCAGTTTCAATGTGACTTGTCCAGTCTGAAGAAAACAAGTGTGGTTTCTAGTACTAAATAACACAACCTTGCAAAATCACTGCAGACAACTATATGCTGAAAACAAGCAAATGATCAGAGGTTCACAAATGGAGACTGCTTTTAAATAAACAGCAGCTCCCACGCAGGAGTTCCCCCAAGTGGGTGAGAAGTAGCAGCATATTGTTGGAATCCCCATTTGATGAATACATCAATGTGCCCCCCAGAAGAGGTAGTTTGGGTGATCTCACCCTCAATTTTATCATATGAAGGCAGGAAGGGATAGGAAATGAATAAAAATCACTTCTAGCACCTCAACACGTCCATTGAGAAGCACAAATCCTTTGGAGGGTGCTGTTCATCAGCTTTTGTGTTTTGTCCCTGCTCAGCTGAGCACTCGAAGCAGTGAGCTGATAACTGGACTAGGAACATCGAGCACGGCTGGGGACACCGTTGCTCACACAACAGCCACAGACCCAACTTGTCCCTTTTCTTCAAGAACATGACAGTACGAGCAGATACTGACCAGTTACAGCACTTCCGGATGGAAGAGACACCTGCAGAGCAGGCCAGAGCCCGACTCAACTTGCTAAAGGTAGATTTATGGCAACATACGACTCCATATCCTTCTCTATTTTTTGAGGTAAGCACCTCCAGGATGCTTTCAGCTGTGGCTGACAGCAGGAGGCCCTGTTACCCGTGAAGATAACACACACAGGATCACACTCCAACTCAATTTAATAAGCTTCTTAACAAACTTGGACAGAAAGTGGTTTGAAGTAAGTTGAGCAACACTCATCTACTAGTCAAGGATTCTTTTGAAGTAATGCTTTTAAGCTTATACTCAAGCATACAAAGCAAAGTTTACAAATTAAAACCAGTAAAACCATCCTAGAATAATGTAATGGCTTCCCCTATATGTACAAGGAGAGGAAAGGAGACAGAATTCTTTCCAGGTAATTTCACACATCTTAAATGCTACATAAGTGCTCTCCACATTCATTTCAATTTTTCTTTTAGTGCGGGTGGAAGAAGCTGAAAGTGATTCAATGAAATCACCTTACAGAGAGAGCGGTACTTCACCTGGTTTCAAGCAGTATATGTTTGCCTCTTCAAAAGTCTTGAGAAGAAATGCTTTACTTAAAATGCTGATAGCTTCTGTGCAGCAGCCTCTGTTTTCCAGCTATATAAAATTAAACAGTTTGGTAAGTACTTCTCAGAAAGTATGACCAACCTTCATGGAAACCTATTATATCCCCCCCTTCACTAATGACTCCATTGTACAACAGGAGCAGCCACGGTTTAGCTTAGATTTGACAGGCAGAACAAGACATAGCAACAGCAAAGATGACCGTTATTAAGGAGGTGATAGGTTTTGCAAACAGAGATTTGGAGCCTAAACCACACTGGACACAGAGCCTTTCTACAGTGGCATTTAAGACAGGGTATTTTACAACCCAACTGCTTTTGTGTCTTAATGAAAGAAATCATATTTGTTTTCAACAAGAGAAAGGTTGAGGAGGGGGAGGAATGACTGTAGTGTACAATGTTTCATTACCAGGTTTGCCACTGTTGAGTCTGGAACAAACCCTCTTATAAAAGTTATTCTCATGTTGATCTAAATTAAGTGGAACAAAAGATGTACTTTTTTTACACTAAAGCAAACGGATCCAAGTGGTGTTTAATAGTATTTGTTAAAGTGGTTATCTAACAAAAATGGGTTAGCAAAATCCCATTCATTAGTAGTCACCAAAGAAGACACTTCTCATGCATATGACAAAAGTTCATTCGTGTACTGAGACGTCTGTTTACTGTGTACAATATTTCCATAAATTATAATATGTTTCACAGCCCCTACCATTCAAGAATATTTCAAACAGATTATATATTATATTTGTATATGCAAACTATTTTATATACACTAATATAAAGATCCTTAGAAGTACCAATATCACTACCTTTATGCTTTCTCTAAAATGCATAGCTTTCGAATATTTTCTTGCAGTTACCAAAAACTTTACAGATTAAAGCTGCTTATCAATGTGGCATGTTCATAAAAACAAAGGGAAATAGTTCTATGCTAATTTGATAGTAAACCCCTTAAAAAACAGGTGCCTTTTATAATGGGAAAAAAACCCAAACCCAAAACCAACACCACAAGCTAGTGAGAATTCAAGTAATCTATGCTCAATCTGTGTCCAAAGACTATAAGAAATTAATGCAGCGTTCTAGAAGTACAGTGAACTTCTCAACCAGGACTCAAATACTGCATTTCTCATGGAGAAAAATGCCACAAAAATGCTCCACTTTTCACTTCAACCAGGACAAGCTTTAGATGACATTTACCATCACCACCCGTGTCGGAACAGAGGAAAAGCTGATCAGTTCTATACAAAGAAATTAAGAGCTATTCCAGTTTTGTTTCTGCGGTTTGTTATTAAACAAAGTTATATTAAACCATACAGTTTCTCACAAACTAAAAGTCACACATGGTTTTCAGACATCAACCGACTTGAAAAAAGGAAAAAAGAAGAAAATAAACTTAAGAAAATAAAGTAAAATTAAAAAAAGGAGGGAAAAAATAAAAAACCCAACAAACAAAACAAACCCACAACTGTTAAAAGTCTGGTGTTAGAATAACCAGCCTGGGTGAAGGCTGTTGTAGCTGGGGGGCTACTGTCAGCTTCTTCTGTATAAACTTGAAGATCTCCATACCACAAATGCCTCAAAGTGGAGAACAGA